GTAATATTAATTAACAAAATAATTACTTATAAGAGGGAATAAAATCACAAAAAACAATGAAAGGTCACAGACACAAACCCTTTATATATTTAACAATATAATAAATCTATATGACACTAGTTTTACCCTCTACTGACAAAAAATATTGAACTTTTGAATGACATTCTACACATCCGTAACTCTTGTCTATAATGGTGCCACTTCAATGCTTTGAACCAAGCCATTGCATTAGGTTAAGGTGAAAATCCGTCTTTGGCTGCCTCTTTATTTAGTTGCATACATCAGGCGACCAACTTTGACCCACTTTGCTTTCCATGCTCTTGCTGCTGTCATGTAACAGCTGACATGTAATCTCGGCAAAAACACAAAGTCACCAGATTTGTCTCTAGTTGCTTATTTGAAAAAAAAAAAAAAAAAAAATCCAAATTGCTTGAGGGGTTTGAAGAATCCTCAAATCTAGTGACAAATTTGCTAAGATGGCAGCACTGGACTGTCATCTCTAGTTTCCCTACACTACTGAGAGCAGCGCAGATCACTGCAGCCCGAAGTAAGCTTCATACACTCGGCAGCTTTGCTGCAAAATAGAAACCAGTGGTGCTTTTTTATTAAAATCCAAGTAAATTTAAACAATTCATGATAACATTTATTTTGAACTCTTTTTAGAATAACTGGGTAAATATACAGTATGCATTAACATATGCTTTACATAATTCTAAAGGTGGGGTGGCTTTTTTTTTGCTCTAGTTTTGCACCATGATTAATAACATGCAGTGGAAATCCTATGGTATATATTCACATTAATAAAGGAGGTGATCAGCATGATTTATACTGCAAGATATTTTTAGTAATTCAAGGAAAATCCTTAGCATAAGAGGACATTCCTCTATTTTCCACAAACACACTCCTCTGGGTTTCCTTGTCTCCTGATCTAATCTGCCCCACACTGTTTTGATGTTCAGCTGTCATCATGTCAACCTTTATCAGGCTGAGAGCAAAAAGCAAGCCGAGCCAAACACACGCTGAACACAATCTCTTATTATGATCAGCTTTCATTAGCAGCACCAGAGGAGTGGCTCTGGCCCAGCGCATGCCTGAGTAATAACACCTTCTTACTACTCAATTCAATACAACTTTTTGACAGTGAATAGTGAATGACAGAAGTCCAATAAAACTTTTTTTTTATTAGTGCAGAGCCAGTCCAGATGACCCTTTGTGATACCAGCTGGCTGATAAAGGGCAGTGGGGACTTAGTGGAATTAAAGCACTTTAGGAGGGCTGTGTGGCCTTGGTGTTGGCCACAGATCAGGTGAAGGTTTTGGGAGTTACTGTGGACTCGGCTCTGAGGTCAAGGGAGGAAAACCTGAGCAGTGAAGGTTAATAAGTTATTCGAAACTTATTTGGCAAGCAATAATGAAGGAGTTGGCTCTGCTGGGTGTAATGAAAGAAACTTCCTCAGACAATTTGGAAAACGTATTAATTTGCTTACGAATGAGTCTAAATGGCCAAACTGGTTAAACTTTTTTTGTGCAATATTTTAAAACAGAAGTTAGTAAAAAACATGTGATATTGATGGCTTTAAAGATGAGAACTCAAGCAGTTATTAAAACCTCAGAGTCAGCAAATCAAGCATCCACATTTGAAGGACTTTACCAGAATTAGTTGTTTTATATCACCCAGGATGAATGACATAGTCTGTATCTTGCAAAATGAGACATAGTATGACCAATTGCTTGATAATAAAACATTAATTTTTTTTTGGTATCAAGATGTGGTACAGACAAATTGGTAGAGGTTAAACTTGGTATCTAAATGTGGTTAAAAAAAAAAAACTAAAAAAAAAGATTAATAATCTGATGAAAGAAAGGATGCATGAGAATTGGATACAACACAGGACAATATTCACCCCTCCTCCTTTGTTTCATTGGTTAGCATTATCAGCATTATCACACTACCTCCACAAGGAGGTAGTGTGATAATGCTGGGGGTTCATGTTGGCTTCTTATTACCGACTGATCAATGTTTTCACTCCATCCAAGTACTGATACTGGTCATGCAGATTTCTGGTCATGAAATCCATATGCTGCCCTGATTTTTATTTAACTGAGGACGAAGTGGGAGATTTTCAATCTGACATCTGGTTTTCCTGAGTGAAATCTGTTTGTGTGTGGGGTGATCTCGAGATCAAAGATTTAATAGCTTCATCTGTTTGTCATATTGTTATGCCTAATTGGTATTCTGTTAGGCTAGGTAAAACCAAATGAAGGAAATGTATCCATGGTGCCAGAGACGGGCTTCCCATATAAAAAAAAAAAAAATAGGAACCATAATCTCCTTTCATTTTACTTCTCTTTTGAGTAAATTAGAAATGATACCCAGTTTCTAATGTAATTTTTCCATATTATCCAAAGTTAATGAGAATTTTCTTTACAATGGCGAAAATGAATATATTGTGCCCTTTTCTTACTGATATCTTTCAGGCAATATATTTTCCTCCTCTTGAGACTGCAAAGTCTGGCTATACGTTACCAAGACAAATTAACTAAAACCCAACCAGAACTGAACAATTTTAATAAACAGTTTTTAAATCTAGGAAAACTGAATGCAAAATCAGTTTAAAAAGATGCATTAAGTTTTACTTTACAAAATTTGAACATCTTTAACTTGAAATAACTTTAAACACTTTATTATCCAAAAGATATTTTTTGTCTATGTCTTAGTTTTAAGTTAAATTCCTGCAATAACCTTAGTCTCTTTTTTTGTCCCATATTTCCACCTTTACTTTTAGTGGAAATATGTATGATTGTATTTCCACTTTATTTACCCATCGCCAATCCATACATGTTCGCAATTTGATTATCTGGTCAATGTTTAGCTTGTCGGGTTGGAGATGTTTTTTTTCTATTTGTCTTCAAGCGAGACATTAAAAAACATCTTCCCTCACTTGAGTATATATATTTTAGTGTCTAAAGTGACGACTACCTCAAAAACTCTAAAAATACCAGCCCCTCCACTTTGTTTTAGGCTTTCAAGGTCTGAAAATATCTCAGTCAGTCAGCCAGTTGGATTTAAAGGGGATTGGTACATCACAGGGTGAGCTCAGAGCAGATAGATCCAGTCATTCCATCTTTATCCCAACCAAACTTCAACTTCAAAGGATACTTTGTTCTTTGCGATAAATAAAAGGACAAAAATATTTCGATTTTTAAAGAAAAAATATTTTCATGTTTTCTTCTACTCTCTTTTGTGCATTTGAAAATATGGCAGACAGCTGAGTAAATATTAAATACATGTCAGACTATTTGACTATTTTTAACAGCACAACTCAGAGGCTTTTGTGGGCAATTGTTCTCAAAACCGCCACACCCTGGCAGAAGAAATGAAGTCAATGTGTCATTCAAAACTTTGACCCATGGGTCAGAACGGTCAAGTTAGAAGATTGGAAACTGTCAGACATTATAATAACTCAAAGAAGTTTTGTCAGCCTTTGAAAAACATCGATAGCACAACACAGCACTCGGGTCTAGATACAACGATGGAGGGAGAGGCAATGAAACTGAGACAAAAGCCATGAAGCATGGTGAAAATGGATCACATACTTACCTTGAATATCCTCTTCAACTATAATTTATGAAAGAAATGAACTGCTGGTAGGCATGCAACAGAGAAGAAAACCATTTAAACACCAGTCAATTCATGCGGGAAGATACAAGAAGACAGAGGAAAGCAACTCTAAAGCCACATACATTTAATAATGGCTTCTAGCCACAGGAATATCAGAAACCCCTTAAATATATTTAAAAGGAGGTGCAAAGTGAGAACATGGGAGCGTGAGCTGTTTATCAAATAGTTTACCAAGACTAAGATATTAGAGTTTTATGCTGACAACAATTTCTTTTAAAGCATTCCTGAACTGAGATGCTTGAAGTGATACCAAAACCAGCAAATAAGTAGCATTGTATAATTCAGTACTGTCTCCCAGCACTTAGTCCTGCATACTGCCTCTCAGCTGGCTGAAAAAATGTCAAACATATTAATGGTATAGTGGAAGATTTACACACATTTTTTAAGAGACCTGCCCTCTCCACAAAAAAAAAAATTTACATGCACAACCCTGTACCCGCTCCCGAGAGGGAACGGCCAACAGTGTGCAGGAGCCCATTAATCCTCGGGGACACACTATTTAAAAGTTGCTATTTGCATTGCTCATACAAGTTTATTTTCCAAAAGAAGATTTGCAATTTTTGTCAGACTCACCACTGGTAAATGAAAATGGGTATGGGCACGTAGGATAGCCTTATGTAAACATATCACCAGAGTAATTGACAATTATGATGACCACTTATTTAAATGATCCACCAGGAAAAAAGAACATTCTCCACTATACCTTTAATGTAAAAGTTTTAGTCTCAATAAAATGGACCGTAATGGTTCATGACAAATTTGCAGCTGACATCAAAACCACCAACATTTTCACATTTTGACCAAATGTAAAAAGAGTGGTCTAGTCAAAGTTTGGACATAAATCTGATTACCATGCTGTAATTTAGTAAACGATTAATCCTCAACTGAAGTATAGAGACTGTAAAATATACCTTTAGCTGACAGAGCAAACCACTTACAACAGTAATAATATCGAAATTGTAAAAATTTTGCACTTAAGATAAAAACAACTATTTTCATCTGTCAATACGCTCCATCCAGAACTCTTCAAATGGAAAAGTGCAATTTAATAAAAGTCTTCTTTAAGGAACCTTTGGCGATCCAATTATTAATCGATTAATAATCATCTGGAGCAGCGGTTTATCCAGCGTTTCTCCTCCAATAGAGAAATATTAATTTGTAACCTGCACTTTGCATTTACACATCATCTTTGTATACCATCAAAAATTCTAAACATCTGAAATATTTCAATGTAAAAGATGCAGAAACCAAGACATTTTTAAATAAGTTTTCACTGTGCTATAAAATACCAATGATTTCACACAGCAGGAGTTTCATACCTAAGGTTGTCCTGGCAGGCGTGGCGTCACTTTTAATCCAGAAAGAAACCCAGGAGAGAACCACGGTGAGAATACAGGGGATGTAGGTTTGGATGGTGAAGTAGCCCATCCTCCTGCTCAGATCAAAGTACACCGTCAACAGCACATAGTCACCTGTAGGTGAGAAACAGAAACGACAGTATTCCTTATCAGCAGAGTCATCTTAGGTCATTAGAGTCTCTGTAATTACAGCGCTGAAGTAATTAGGAAGTATTCAACAGATGAGTTCTGTAGATTTTTGTCAAAGCTGGTAAATCTGTTCATGCAGGCAGTAAAGAATTGCTTCCTCTTTGGATGGAAAGGGTTTACGATTCCTTAGAATCTGCATGAAAGGGCATGATGGGAGTTAAAAAGACAAGGAGAGGAAACAGAGATACATTTTCCAGACAGAGACAATATCTGCCCGTCACTCTGCTGTCCTCATAGATGTGTTAATTGTCAGTGAGTGGAAGATATTGAGCTCCATTTGATGGAGAACTATTATGTGTCCTGTGTTCCACATTTAAATACAGCTTAAAAACTTGAGTGGGGGATAATTTTTTAACAAATCTGCCAGCCGTTAATGAAAACAGTAAATGAAAGGAAGCAGAGGGTGACCTTTTGTCCGTCTCTCACTTCTCAATTGCTAAAAATTGCAGGTGCACATGACAAAGGAAATGTACTCCCAGTGGCAGATTAGTGCTCAACTGTTCCATGATTATGTACTTGTGTGTGTCGGAAAATAATGGCTTTAATCATTTTTATTCATACTACTGTAACGATGTAACAACAGCACACAAACAAATGAAGGGTTGTTAGTTTCTTCTACCAAGCACAATGCTGCAGAGAAGAAAACTTCAATCCCATAACAACATATTTGAGATAATTAGTTGCTGCTTTCCTGCTACGGCTGCATAGAATAGTCTCATTAAATTTATTATGATCCTCGGGCTATGATACATTCCAGGAATTCGAATATAACCTACCTAGAAACCTTTTCAATTTCTTGAACAACAATTACAAAAAAATGCATTTTATTTTTTTTTTTTGTGATGGAACACAAGGGTTTCGGGATACATGTAAATATCAATCAGAAAGCTTTATAAAATAGCTGAAACTGAGTCGTATAGAAGGGAGAATTAATGAAATTTAATCTTAAAATCTCATCACAAATTCTGGACTTTGATTGGGCTATTTAAAGAGCTGAATATATGGGGAGCAGTGGGCTGCATTTGTGCAGCACCTAGGGAGCAGTGTGGGGTTAAAGGGGAACAAAGTTTTTTTTACATTGGGCCCTTGATTTTACATTATTACATCATGTTCTACTCACCCATATTAGTTTTGTGTCATTTGGAGCTATTCTGAAGATATTCCATTAGGTTATATCCAAGTAATGTCTTCCTATGGGCTACGAGTTGAAGGCACAAACTAAACTGCTCATAATTTATCATTTATGGTACGCCAGCATTCATAACATGTAGGCGAATCACTGTCTCCCAGACATCTGTGGTTATATTTTTTATATTTATATTTTTTAAAACAAAGCGGAGCATGTATGACGTCACCCGCGCGCCGGACTGGAGTTGTGACAGGCAGCCTGGGCCACAGGCGGCTACGCTTTACCCCTTATATTCATTTGGCTTATTAATCTGAATCATTAAATTCCATTTCGAGAGCGAGATCATCTGTGGTAGTAGCACTAGACATCTTCCAGGCATGTGAGTAAAACTACTGTAGTTGCAGTTCAGCGGACAGGATGAATGAATGGTAGCTGGCGCGTATCTTCCATATTTTGGAAGGATGTAAGGATCTTGCAATATTTTGAATACTGCCAGCACCATAACTCACAATGGAAATTGATGCTTTTAGAGTGGCATGACACATTTTCCATTAGACCTGGACTTCTGACAAGATCACCTTTTCCCCACATATTTACAGTGTTTACAGATTTTTGGCACTCCTGCTTTAAAGTAAAGCTGTGGATCTCTGCAGCTCAGTGTCGCCAAGGACCCCATACAAGATTTTCTGTTTAATAATACCTTTAACTAGAATTCTACTTTTGAAAACATTGAATGAAGACTTATTGAGCAGAGTCTCTTAAAAGCTGCAAAGGACATGGGATGAGGATGCATGTGAGGCTGGCTGAAAACTCTACTACTGCAGCCACAACTATATAAAAAAAAAAGTTTGATTTAAGCCTTTGTCTTCCTAAATGGCTCTATCCATCTAGTCCTGGCTTAAATTTGGTAGGTCCGTGACAAAACGTGGAAAATTGTTCTACAAATGCTCTACAGCAAATCTGACTTGTGGATTACATTAAATCTGAATACAACACTGTCACTTCCAGCTAAAATAAGCTCAATGGAGTAGAACAGTAAGGCGGTGTAATTTTCATCTTTTCTATCTCGAACACCAACACCAGAATGTTTAATTTCACAGTTCCTCTTGAATATTGTCACACACACCATGAGCTATGACAGCAAAAATGTATCTCCTCTCACAGATATGTTATCAGTATTTGCAAGGCAGCAACCCCTGCATGCATTCTAGCCAATTCCTGTGTTTACAACGTTTAAACAACAGCGACCTCTGTTTGCATACTTTTAGCTCTTATTCCAAGATGCTTTGAACACAATTGTCTACAGACTGTCATGGTGTACAGTCAAGGAAAATTTCCAGCCCCCAATGGACCCAAAAGATTTAGCTAATGAGATAAGGGTAATTCACCTGAATATTTCATGAAATGCTCAAATTGCGCTAAAGTGCATTTTCTGTTGATAATTGATATAGTCCCACAGTTTAGATTTACATAAAATTGTAGACGGGGGGGGGGGTTCAAGTATATTTACATATCTCAATTCAGTTCAAAGACAATTCAAAATGCTTTGCATGGGAGTAACAGAAGGACAGCAAAGGCAGAATAATAGTAAAGATAGATGCAGGTAGTAAGCATATAAAAAAGTTGGACCAAAACTTGAACTGATAATCCTCTACTGCCTTTTTTTCTTAGTCCATTATATGATTCCTTATCTTCTTCTGCTTATTGGATTGGGTCGGGAGAGCAGCAGTTTCAGCAAAGCTTCTGAGATTTTTCTCTCCCCAAACGGCTCCTTTAGCTATGCAGGAGGAAGCCTGAGGTGTTCCCAGGCCAAACTAAGGGACAGAGTCCCCCAGTGTGTCCTGGTTCATCCCTTGGGCCTCCTCCCACTCCTGGTGGAACGTGGCTAGCACACCTGCTAAGAGAGGCGTTCCGGGAGGCATCTGGAAAAGATGTCTTAACCACCTCAACAGACTCATTTTGATGTGGAGGGGAAGCAGCTAATCTGAGCCTCTCTGATGACTGAGCTCCTCACCTTATCTCTAGGGGAGTGCCCAGTCATCCTGTGGAAAAAGCTAATTCCAAACGCTTGTATTTGGGATCTTAATCATGATCCAGATTTCATGACCATAGGTAAGGGTTGGGACAAAGAAAGGCCAGTTAATAGAGAGCTTTTTCGCTCAATTTTATCTTCACCACAACAGACAGGTCCAGCGTCAGTATTACAACGGCAGCCACATCGATCAGTCCATCAATCTTCTGCTCCATTCCGCTCTCCCTCGTGAATAAGACTATGATATTTGAACTCTTCAAATTATGGCAGGAACTCTCCTCCAACATAACGGGTAAACATGCCACCTCTTTCAGTTCAAGAATCATCGCCTTGGACTTGGAGGAGCAGATTCTCATCCTGGCCACTTCACATCTTCCCATGTCATTTGCAAGAAGCAGGGGGAGAATCCTCTGGTCCCCAGATCAGACCCACTCGAGCCATTGGCTGTGTCTAGAAACCCTGTCCATCAAGGTTATGAACAGAACTGGTAATGGAGGGCAACCTTGCCAGAGTCCAACATGTATGGGGAACAGGTCAAACTTCTGCTCATCTTGTACTGAGACCGCCCCAATGATGTTGAAGCCCAGAATGATGTTGAAGAGGTCTGTCAACAATGACATCCTGACAACACCCATAGACCTACAGTAAGGTATTCAGGTGAATCTCACCCACCCTCTAACCCTTAAAAACTTGTAGTCTTTTGACCACTCTGTGACTTTAGCCTGGGTTATAAATGAATCCAACTGTGACCACCCCATCACTTCTTCCATCATGGAAGATGTGTCTGTTGATTTGGGGAGATCAAAGTATTCCTCTCACCTTCTGAAAATGTCCTCATATAAGCTCAGCTGCTCCCAACTCCCACCAAAAACAGCTTTCCCCAGCAGAGGTGGCAGAATGTTTACAGAATAATTTTAAAGTAACTGTCAGTCTTTTGCTGCGGTCTCTACAACTTCAGCTCAACAGCATCCTTCCTGCTCCTTCATTTCTTGTGCCACTTTTTCCTTCCTCCCATGCAATATCCATCCTTTTCCGCTTTCCTTTGTGTACAATTCTTGTCTCCATTCTTCTAGGCCTTCTCTGTTTTCCCTTACCTTTCATATATCCCTGATCACCCTGTGTCTACTTTCTTCCTCTTTTATGAATTTGATTTGTCCAATACATCAAGTACATATACTTGTTTTTTGTGCCCACCCCTTTATTAACTTCTACCATGTTTAATTATTAATGTTGTTCTTTGTATGCTGCCTACCTTTCTTTATTCCTTTCTTCCAGTTTTTTTCTGTCTAAATAAGGTGCACCCACAGAAGATAATATCTTCAAGGTGTAATGTTGTGCTTAAAAAGGTCTAAAATGTTACCATGGAACATGCATAGGAACCATGGCGACATCAGTAGATACCCAGAACCTGCTCAAGGAACCATCAACACCCTTTCTGGCCTGGAATCCTAGTGACCCTCTTGACATAGCAGAAACAAATTGTTTAGGAAATGAATGTCAGGGTTCTTCAACATTATCACTGAAAGGAGAAGGCTTTAAGAAATAATTAGACCATTGATGGTAAACCCTATGGATCTGCCTGAGGTCTGAAAGATTTCATTATGTTCATTTGGTATCCTGTAGCGACATTTAATGTCAATTTAAATACAAAAAGAAAACATGAGCATTTTCTTTCAACTGCATTTACTTCGACTAATCTGACATATTTTGAAGAGAAAGAAAAAGAGATTGAATTGGAGAATTTAAATGACATTTTCTTTTCCGTACCAGCAGGCTGCTCTATTTGAGGAATTAATTCAGATGGAAGGTTTCCTATATTATAATAAAACCACTCAGAAACCTGATACAATGACCATCCAAGCAAAGCACTAGTCCATTTTAAAGAGTCTTAACTCCTGGGTCTAACTCAGGGTGAAAAACAGGGTGGTCAGTAAACGGGAACACAAATTTGTTTTTGTGGATAATTTATATATTTTTTTAATGTAACCATCTTATTTAACACAAACTGACAAACAGAAAAACGTTTTAATATTTATTTTTTGTGGTCCCCCTTACTTGAATCTTGATCTGAAGACAGAAATAGACCTATGATGTCCTCAAAGCAACTTTACATTACTGGATTCAATTAGTGATAAAATAAGGATTTTCATATTAAAAATTCCTAATCTTAATACAATATGGCATGCTAATTTGATTAAGCTTTTCTGAAAATGCTGTGAACCAATACATCACTAGGCAGCCTCTTTGGGTCGATACTTTAGACAGTAGTTTTGGGGGATGGGGTTTACTCTAGGAACTCTAAAATATTAGTTGGAATTTGTAAACCACCATTATTATGGTTAAATTTGTTTCTAATTATGGATTGAATTTGTTCATAGAGAAATATTCTCATTGAATACTTTGTTCTCCACAAAACAATGTGCTGGCTACAAAAATCACACAAAAATCCTCAATGGTAATCAAATTTATTAATAAATGGAGGCTGGTATCTGGAGTCACACACAAAATTGAAGAGGAAAAACACACTATAGTCTCATCCAACCTTGATGTAATATCCTTAAAACTGGTCAACATGAGGCTCAGTATTGTGTGTGGTGCCCATGTGCCTGTATGACCTCCCTACAATGCTTGGGCCTGCTCCTGATGAGGTGGTGGATGGTCTCCTGAGGGATTTCCTCCACGGCCTGGACTGAAGCATCCACCATCTCCTGGACAATTTGTGGTGCAGCGTGACGGTAAATGGATGGAATCGTGATGTCCCAGAGGTGCTCAATTGGATTAAGAATTGGGGAAAGAGTGGGCCAGTCCATAGCTCCAATGCATTCATCTTGCAGGAACTCCTTCAGCCACATGAGGTGTAACACTGTCCTGCATTAGGAGGAACCCAAGGCCAATCACTCCAGCATATGGTCTCACAAGGGGTTTTAGAACCTTATCTCAGTACCTAATGGCAGTTATTCTACCATTGGCGAGCATATTGAGAGCTCTAAAGAAATTCCACCCCAAAATATTAGTGACCCACTGCCAAACTGGTTATCCTGAAGGATGTTGAGAGCATTTTGCTTGCCATGGTGTCTACAAACTCTGTCATGTCTGTCACATGTGCTCATTGTGAACCTGCTTTCATATGTGAAGAGCACGGGGTAGAAATGGCGAATTTGCCAATCCTTTTACTCTGCACAGTTCTGGGTTGCGAGCACAACCCCCTTCTGCTGATGTCAGGCCCTCATACATTTCTCATGGAGTCTGTTTCCAACCGTTTGTGATGACACACATACATTTGTGGCCTGCTGGAGGTAATTTTGCAGGGCTCTGGCAGTACTCCTCCTGTTTCTTCTTGCACAAAGGTGGTGGTAGCAGTCCAACTGCGGGTTGTTGTCCTGTTACAACCTCTGGATACTACACTGACAGACACAGCAAGCCTTCTCACCACAGCTCGCATTGATGTATTATCCTGGATGAGATGCACTACCTGAGCAACTTGTGTGGTTTGTAAAGACTGTCTCATGCTACAATAATTGTGAAAGCACAATCCAACATTCAAAAGTGACCAAAACCTCAGCCAGAAAGAATAGGTAATGAGAAGTGGTCGGTGGTCCCCAACTGCAGAACCACTGCTTTATTGAGTGCGTCTTGCCAAATCCGCCTGTTGTCCATTCCATTTGCACAACAGCATGTTACATTGATTGTCAGTGTATTTTGAGGTGATCAAAAAAATAAATAAATAAATCGGTAAAGCTACATTCTTTTAGAGCCGACAGATTTATTTATCTAATGATTCTGTTTTTATAATCTTCACAGGCTCATGACGGCTAAACTATAACTGGACCACAGGTGTTTCAGCGTGGGTGAAGTTCAAGTGACCACACAAATGAATCTTTCGCATTTTTGGCATGAGTGCTTTACTCTTCCACATGCTGCGTGCTTTAATTACAGTTTTCTGGGTTCTGGCTAAAAGCTCTGAGGGATATGCTGAAATAAAGAAGAAATTGAAAAGATGTATTCCAAGACACGGGACAAAAGGCAAGGGAGTTTTAGATTTTTCATAAGGGAGTAAGACTCAATATTCAAGTGAGGACACATGAAGAAAAGAAAGAAAATGATTTATATTAGTACCTCTCAAATTTAAATTTAGAAAAGAACTTCACTCCCACTGCTTTAAAAGAATTTTCAAGGGGATGAAGGAGCAAAACACCAGAGTCTTTAGGATTCCACGCTGGGGCCGTTTGAAGAGGCCGCTGCTGAATTGATAATTACTAAAGCTTTGGAACCGGGTCCCAGGCGGTGCAGTGGTCGGGGATGTGTCCACTCTGTCTTCATTATAAAACACCCCCATATGCACGTGTTTATGAGAGAAGAAGGAAACAAATTCGAGGAGATTCAGGGTGTAGAAGAAAAAAACCCCCAAACACTTTTGAAGTTTGCCACGATGTAAATTAATGACAGGTATTTTTAGCCGGGAGCTAATCATCATGCATGTGCTGATCGAGCCCCAACAAAGTGAAACAGGACGGAGGTAATAATTGAGAAAATGGCCAATCTTCTTAAGCAGCATGAGGTAAATGTGAAGGTTTGCAGTTATTTTTGAGCATCTCTGCAGGAGATTAGTTTGGTGGCATTTTGACAAATTCATCAGGATTCCAAGAAAAATTATTTGTTAACACATCAATGAGGCTCAGTTAACTTTTCATGTATTACAAATATTTAACGATTCAAGAACTGATCTCATTACAGTGAATCTAAATAGTATACACACCCCTATCAAAATGCAAGGCTGTTCGTGTAAATTCAGTGGGGCTCTAAGTTAAACGCTAATCCTTTAACAATCAAGTAAAGCCAAATAAAGGTCCTTCTAAAAAAACAACCATTTTTGAATCTGATATTAAGATACATTGAAAATGAACTCCTGTCTGATACACATTTAAACCTAAAGTTTCAAATCTAAAGATATGCCGGTTAGGTCCTCAGTCTTCCTCAGTCAGCTCCAAGTGATGCTCAACCAGATTAATGGCTAAATGTTGCTGGCTCACCTTTCTCACCAAACTTTTTCCCTTCCCATGATTTTCCAGTGAATATGCTAAGATACAGCACTCTGAAAAGACATCTCATGCTTCCACTACTTGTGGATGACACTCAATCTTCCACCTGATTGTAGTCTACTGACCAGAATGAGACCTCTTAGAGGCTAAAGAACCCTTAGCATAGCATATATTTTAAACATGACTACATGTGTTGCACCCTAGGTTTCCAACTGCTAATCTTAAATTTTCTGAGACACTGAATTGTAGGATTTCAATCACTCTAAGCCATCTGTAATGAGTTTACATTACCTTTATAACTTTCTACAAACTACTACTAAATGATGAAAAAGGTCAGCTCCAACTGAGAGTTAAAATTGACTTTAGGTTAAAAATGATGCATACCAGGAAGGATAATTGGACACAAAGGTGCCGTAACAGAGCACTGGTTAAGGATGTAGCTATTTGTACAACTTTGTTCTTGGACATTTCTAACATTTTGTTTTCTTGTTTTGTGTCCATTTGTACACCATCCCAATACAAGTACACATGGGGCTATTTCTGATCTTATTTTTTATAAATGACAGAAATCTGACATTAGTTCCACATTAGATCTAAAACTATATCCTAATTAGCATTTTTAGTGTGCAATGCAGCAAGAAATAAAATATAAAATAAATATAAAAAGAAATAAAAATACTGGAGAATGTGTTTATTGGTCTTCGCTGATATAGGAGTTTTACGACAAACAACCAATAACTCAATTCTGTAGGATTCGGCCAAACAAAATGAAGTTATACAACTTATTTCCTCTGAGCTCCTCAATAATTAGATGCCACTCCCCATTTCCCCATCTCCTAAACCATAATCCTGTTCCTGGAATATTCATGAACATAGTTTCAGCTGCTAGAAAGCTGAATCAGGTCACATTATGCAGATCTGGGCCCCGTCTCTCTGAAGATAAAGTACCGTATGGCATTTACCAGGAGGAATAGGCAGCTTCTAAATAAGGTTAAAAGGGGTTAACAATAGGTCTGTGTCTCCTGTATTTCTGTCAATTATTTAAGCTGCTGGAATCAATTTTTATTTCTCAAGGTCATGTAAGAAATATTAAAAATGTATAAAGAGCTGTGTCCACATGTGGAAGCAGAAAGGTTTTACCGTTGTCTCTAGATTCCAAGCTGCAAAACACACATAAAGACATGCAGGAGAGGAGGAGGAGTGAATAATTAAACGTCCTTTTTAATCTTTAATCCTAGTGATTAATGTCGGTGAAAAAAACCTATTTGGCCTTATACCCAAAGGGGAATACTTATGAGCTTCGAGACTGTAGTGATATGATTACATTTATAGGCATGGAGCTAATGATAACATGATAACCTGTAGAGCTTTAAGGGAGTAAAAAGTTCAAGGGCCTGAAATCTGCTCACTTTAGGTGACCAGTCGCATCCATTAGGGTTTGTATAGGAAACAACTCAGTGTTCCCTGGAAGAATATTTATACCCCTTGAAACCTTTTGCCAGATTAACACCAAAGAGTTTAATACACTTTTTCTAATCAGAAAAAAGAGACAAAGCTGTGCTGTGTATTTTATCAGTTCCAATAAGTCTGTATAGAACTACCATATTTTC